ATGCTGTTACCAGTGGCATGTCACAATACCTTCTATGGGTACGGCCCAGGCAGGAATTTTACATTACATTTGTGCTGTCCCAAAGACATGTTACAATCCCCCTCTGCTGGCACGGCTTAGAGAGAATAGAAGAGTCACAACATCTAATATTGTGGCCACAGAGACAAATCAAAATACCTCCTGCAGGCAAGGCCTAGGATATAGGTTTACATCACTTGCAATCTGGGCTTGCTAAAATGATTCAATCTCCTGTTGCCATGACACAGGCAAAAGAGGAGAATCATATCACCTAAGTACCTGTGGTATGTCACTCCATTTTCAAGGGACAGAATGCAGGCAAAAGAGGAGTGTTACATCACTTAGATAATGAGCTCAGAGGCATATCACAATACCTACTCTGGGCAGGGCCCAGGCAGTACAGTCACATCAGTGAGGTGCTGGGCTCAGTGATATTTCACAACGGCTTTGTTGGCAGGGCTCAGGCTAAAGATAAGTGTCAGACGACCCAAGTGCTAGGCCCAGTGATATTTCACAATACCCTCTGTGTACAGGGTTCAAGCAAGAGAGTCACATCACCTAGGTGCTTGACCCAGGTATATGTCACAATCTCCTCTGAGCTCTGTGCCCATGCAGGAAAGTAAAATCACTCAGATGTTATGCAGAAGTATATGTAACGATCACACTTGTGCGAGGGTCCAGGGATAAGATTCACAATTCCACACATGTTCTAGCTTCAGGTAGGAAAGTCAACACCTCCTGTGAGTTGCATTCAAGTACATGAGTCACAATCTCAATGATGGGCTAGACTCATGCATGAGAGTCTCAATTTCACCTGTAGATTGTGTTCTGGTATCAGAGACAAAACCTCACAGATGTAATGAATTCTGGTTCTAGAATCACCATCTACCTGTAAGACAAAATCTACATATAAGGATTGTAATTCCAACTTTCAACTGCGTCCAGGTGTGGAAGGGTGACAATTTTTACTGTGGGCTCGAAATGCATATAAGAATCACAATCTCAGCTGTGTTCTGGGACCTCTTATGTACCATCAGAGGGCTTTATATTGTTGGGGTGAGACTCACAATCCCCTGTGAGAAATTAGTGCTGTATAAACCTGTTGTCCCACGCCCAACTGTGAGAGTCAACGTTGCTCATATTGGCTGAATCCAGATATAAAAGTCATTGCTGTGCTTCTTTGTTGGGCTCGGCTATGAGTCACCATTCCACCTGTGGTTAGATACACACATGACATTAAAAATGACAACCGTGGATTGCATCTGTGAGTAAAATTCAGGACCTCACCAGTGGGTTATATTCATGTGTGTGAATGACAAGTCTTACTGCTGGCTGAGTGTGCATTTGAAAGTCACAATCTTCACTTTGTGCTGAGTTATGTAATGACACTTTCTTTATAACCCTGAGGACATTATACAATATACGTGAGTGTGATAATCCTCTGTGACATATTTATACAACTAGAAAACCCAAAGCCTTACTGTTGACATAAGCCTAGGTACAAGAGTCAATATATCTTCTATTGGCTGGGTTCATTGTGCAAGTGAGTTGGGTTCAGAAATTTTCCAGGATCTAACCTGTGGCTAGATCCACATATGACAGTAACAATTTCAGTGGTGGAACAGGTTCATGTGTAAGATTTAGGACCTTACTGGTAGGCTTGGTCTATGTATGAGCATGGCAATTCAAACTACTGGCTAGGTGTGCATAGAAGAGTCACAATCTCACCTGTGGATGGGCCCTGTAATGACACTCTGTATTTCCCAAGAGCTTTATACAGCATACATGAGTGTCATAATCTCCTGTTACTTTCCTACAAGTAAAGGATCCAGACCCCAAAGCCTAGTTGTAGGAGTCAGCATCTCTTTTTAGCTGGGTCCAGGTATGAGACTCATCACCATTCACATGAGCTGAATCCACAGTGAGTCACCATCTGACTTCTGGTAATATACACACATAATAGTCCCAATGACAACTGTTGGCTGTGTTCACATATGAGATTTAGGACCTCAACAGTGGTCTCTGTTCATGTGTAATAGTGACAGTAGTAACTTTTGGCTGGGTTTGCCTACAAGAGTAAAAATCTCTTATGTGTGCTGGGCTGAGTTATATGTCACAATCTTACCTCTGCAAAAGGCTGAGAAATAAGAGTCATATTACCTTGATTCTTCACCTGGAGTGTGTCTCAATCCCCTTTATGGACAAGGCCCAGGCAGAAGAGACACATCAGTTGTGTTCAGGGCCCAGTGACATGTCATAATATTTCCTCTAGGCAGAGCCCAGACAGGAGAGTTATGACATTTGGGTGCCGGGCCCTGAGCTATATCACAGGGGTCTAAAGAATCTTTTCTTTAGGCTTGTCTTGGGCAGCAGAGAAGAGGCACATTATGTAGAAAGTTAGTTCCAAGATATGTCACAATGTCCCCTTTGGGTGGGGAGAGTCACATTATTAGATTATGGGCCCAGCAATATGTCACAATGCCCCCTGATGGAAGGGCAAATAAAAGAAAGTCACATAACCAAGGTGAGTAAACCAGAGATGTCACAATGCATGCTATAAGTAGGGATCATGGGAAAGAGGAGCATGATATAACCCAGGGGCTACACCCAGATACGTGTCACAATCACCCCATTGGGCAGGGCCTAGGCATGAGAGGAGAGTCGCATCACACAAATGCTAAGTCAAGTGATATGTCACAATTCCCACTATAAATGGGTCCAAGAAAAAAAAAGTCACATCATCTACATGGTGGGGCCACAGATATGTATGAATATTCCCTGTGGGTATTGCCGAGGCAGAAGAGGCAAGTCAAGTCACCTGGGTGCAGAGCCAGGAGATATGTCACAATGTCTTCTATAGGCAAAGCCCAGGTGAAAAAGGAGGGTCACATTAAATAGTTGATAGGCCCAGAGATATTTCACAATGCCCCTGTAAGCAGAGTCCAGGCGTGAGACTCAAACCACTTTTGTGCTGGGCCCAGCAATATGTCACAATGCTTTTGAGAGCAGGACCAAATCAAGACAGGAATGTCACCTTATTTGGCCTAGCAATAGGCAGAAGTCACATAATCTGGGTGCAGGGCCAGTAAATACATCACACTGTCCTCTGTGGGCAGAGCCAAGACAGGAGAACAGATCACATCAGCTAAGTACTGGACAAAGTGACATGTCATAATCTCTACTAGAGGGTAGACCCAGGCAAGAGAGTCAAATCATTCAGATTCCGGGCAGAGGCTTACATCAGAATCACCTACAAGAAGGTCCAGGGATGAGACACAATCCCACACATGTCCCAGTTGTAGGTTTGGTCTAAGTACAAGTTGCAATCTCAAAAATAAACTAGATCTGCACAAAAGAGACTCAATTCCTTCTGAAGACTTTCCCCTTAGTGGAGTTACAGCCTCACAGCTGTGGGGAATCTTGATCTGAGATTCACTGACCTACCTATGTACCAGATCCGTGTATGAGAGTTAATTCTCCAACTTTCCACTGCCTCCAGCTTGGAGATTCAGAGCCTCACCAGTGGGCTGTGTTCATGTGGAAGGATGAGAGTCTACTATTGGCCACCTGTCTAAAGCAGTGTCACAATTTCACCTGTGTGCTCTGCCCTGTGAGGACAGTCTCTCTACCATTCAAGGTATGTACAAGACTCAACATCTGCTGAGACCTTTGTGCCAGTATGCACCCATATTGGACCTGTGGTCCTTAGTCCATGTATGAGAGTCAACATCTCTCCTGTTGGCTGAGTCTAGATGGCAGAGGCCTGACCTCTCTATAAGCTGGGTTTAGGAATGAGTCACCATCTAAACTATGGCCAGGTGTTCACATATGACAGTCAGAATTTTAACTGCAGACTGTATCTGCATAAGAGATTCAGCATTTCCCCAGAATGCTCTGTTTAGGTGTGAGGGTGACAATCCTAACAGTTGGCTGGGTATGCATATGAGAAACACAATCTCACCTGTGTTCTTGGCCCTGTGATGACATCCTGTGTACCACTGGAGGGCTTTATATAAAGTTAAAAAGTGGTAGTTCCCTACAACTTTCATACAAAGAGGAGGCCCAAGATCTTACCCATTTCACTAAGACCAGCTATTAAAGTTTTTCTTGTTTTGTTTTGTTTTCAGACAGTCTCTCTGTCACACACGCTGGAGTGCAATGGTGTAATCTCAGCTCACTGCAACCTCCACCTTCTGGGTTCAAGTGATTCTCTGCCTTAGCTTCCTGAGTAGCTGGGATTAAAGGGGCCTGCCACCACTCATGGCTAATTTTTTGTATTTTTGGTAGAAATGGGGCTTCACCATGTTGGCCAGGGTGGTCTTGAAATCCTGACCTGGTGATCCACCCAGACTTGGCCTCCCAGAGTGCTGGGATTACAGGTGTGAGCCACTGCACCTGGTCAAAAGTATCTTTTTTATTGACTGGTTCAAAGAAAGAGGGTCGGCATCTTACCTGTGAGCTGGGCCAAAATATATGCGGTTGGATGACAATCTTTACTGTTGGCTGGGTGTGCATATGAGTGTCACAATCCCATTTGTGTGTCTGGCCCTGTAGGGACCCTCTCTGTCTTACTGAGATCATTATACAGTATGCATGAGAGGTGCAGTTTATTCTGAAACCTTTGTGCTTCTGTGAACCCACAATTTTACCTGTGACTCTAAACCCAAATATGAGAGTGAACATCTTTAAGAAAGGCTGGGTTTAAAGTAAAAAAAAAAATGACTGGCTTTAGGTAGCAGAGTCTCGACCTGCCTGTGAGCTGGATTTAGAAATGCGTCACTATTCACAAGAACAGAATACCAAACATCACTTGTTCTCACTCATAAGTGGGTGTTGAAGAATGAGAACACATGGACACAGGGAAGGGAGCATCACCCTCCAGGGCCTGGAAGGTGGGGGGTTAGGGGAGGAATAGCAGGGGGTGGGGAGCTTGGGGAGGGATAGCATTAGAAGAAATGCCTAGTGTAGATGACAGGGTGATGGATGCAGCAAACCACCATCATGGCACGTGTATACCTATGTAACAAACCTGCATGATTGGTACATGTACTTCAGAACTTAAAGTATAATAAGTAAATTTGAAAAGGAAAGAAAAGAAAAATGAAATGAGTCACTATTCCATGTATAGCCAGGTGTTCACATATGCAGTCTCAATTTCAACTGTGAACTGCATCCATGAATTAGATTTAGGACCTCACCAGTGGGTTCTGCTTATGTGTGAGGGTGACAAGGCCAGCGGTTGGCTGGGGGTGCATAGAGTAAGAAATATTTCTATTGTGTGCTGGGCCTTGAATTTATACTCTCTGTATCACCCAAGGGCTTTATACAATATGGGATAAAGTGGTACTTTTTTAATGATCTTTGTACAAAGAGAAGACCTAGAATCTTACCTGTTTCTCTCAGCTTAGCTAGAACAGAGAGTATCTTTTACTGGCTAATTTGATATATGGACCCTCCAATAGGGGAGATTTTGCCTTTTTTTAGACTTAGGGCAATGGATAAAATACTGCATCTCCTATGTGAGGAAACGTGACATGAGATTATGACACTCAAGCTTATTCTATAACGCTTTTGTGTGACAATTAAGAGTATAATAACAGAATCCAGTACACAGGTGAAATTATAACTCTCATAGGCACACCCAGGTGAAAATTAGAATTGTTACTTTCACACATAGAAAGAACCCACTGCGGAGGTCCTGAATCTCACAGGCACTCTCCACAATTAGATTTGTGACAGTCAGATGTGGGTCCCAGGACAGTTGGCATGCTAATTTTTGGAGCCAACTTACAGACAATTTGATGACTGTCATACCTATATCTGGCCAATATGAGAGATGTGGGCATGGGGCAATGGGTACAATCATTGCTTCATTGATTTATGCCAGAATGGAGGTCTCAAAGCAGATTGCAACTGCCACTTACACCATATAAAGCCCGTGGGTAATACAGAGGGTGTCATCACAAAACCAAGAACACAGGTGAAATTGTGACTCTCCTGTGCACACTCAGCCAACTGTAAACACCGTCACTCTCACACATAGAAACCGTCCACTGTGAGGCTGTGGATCTCACATGGAGGTAGTTGAAAGTTGGAATTGTGACTCATACATGGACCTGCTTAACAGGTAGAATAGCGACTCAAAGAGCAGGATTCAGAACATCTGTGAGGCTGTGACTCATAAATTCAGAAATTGTTTGCATTTGGAGTTGTGGCTCTCTTGCAGGGATAGAGTCCAACAGGAAGGTTGTGACCCACGTACTTGAACCCAACTCAAATGAGATCTCTTGACCCTCATACCTGAAGTCAAAAAATGTGTGGAGGCCGGGCATGCTGGCTCACTCTTGTAATCATGGCACTTTGGGGGGCCAAGGCAGGTGGATCACCTGAGGTTGAAAGTTCAAGACCAGTCTGAACAATATGGAGAAAACCCATCTCTACTAAAAATCCAAAACTAGCCAGGCATTGTGGTGCATGCCTATAATCCCAGCTACTTGGGAGGCTGAGGCAGGAGAGTAGCTTGAACCCAGGAGGGGGAGGTTGTAGTGAGCCAAGATTGTGACATTGCACTCCAGCCTGGGCAACAATGAAACTCCATCTCAAAAGAAAAAAAGAGTCTGGAATTTTGAATCTAATTTCTCAGCCTTCTTGCTAGTGTGATTGTAACATCTACCTTTGCCTAGCACCTGAGTGATTTGGCTATCCTGCCTGGGTAAAGCCCAGAAAAAATTGTGATTTTAAAAAAATTATTTTTTTTTTTACCTGGGCCAAGCATTTAAGTTATTTTACTTTCCTGCATAGGCCATGTCCTCAGGGAAAATTGTGACATATCACTGTGCCCATAACCTAGGTTATATAATCATCCTCTTCTGCCTGGGCCCTGCCAACAGACATAATTGTAGCATATAGTTGGGCCAATCACCTAAGTGATGTGACGTTACTCTTTGCCGTGGGCTTTGCTGAAGTGCAGGTTGTGACATATCACTGAGCCCTATGCATAAATAATATGACTCTCCTGCCTTGGCTCCTCCAAAAGGAGGCATTTTGATATATCTATTGGCCCATCAACTGGGCCTATTGTGACCCTTTTCTCTTACCCGAGTCCTGTCCACACAGTGACATATTTCTGTGCCCTGCATGCAGATAGTGTGTCTTTCCTTATGAATGCTGCCCACTGAAGGCATTGAGACATACTGCTGGGCCCAGTACCCAGGTTATGTGACTTTTCTGTCGCAGCCCTGCCCATAGAGTAGATATCGACATGTTTCTGGTCCGGCATTCAGGTGATCTGATCATCTTTTCTGGTTTGTTCACATAGGCTGTTTTGACATATAGTTTCCCCAGCTCACAGGCGTTACAATTACACTCATATGAGAACCCAGACAATAGGAATGATTTTGATGCTCTTAGCTAGACTTTAAGCAGTAGGTAGAGTCCTGGGTTTTCTACTTTTAGAAAAGTTGCAGAGATGTATAAAATTTATACAAATCCTATAAATAGTTTGTGTGCTACAGAGAATGCAGTAATAGGACTCAGCACACAGGCGAGATTGTGACTCTCACAGGTACAATAAGCCAACAATTAGGATTGTCACTTCCAAACATGGAAGGAACACACTGGTGAGCTTCTGGACCTCACATGCTGATAGAGTCCACAGTTAAAAGTCTGACTGTCATGTTTACATCTGGAAACAGGTTGAACAGTGACTGATTTCTGGACCCAGCTCAGAGGCACAGTGATTAGTTGCATACCTGGACCTAGACAATAGGAGAGATGTTGACTCTCATAGGTAGCCTTAAAGCAATGGGCAAGGTCCTGGGCTTTCTACTCGTATGAAGGTCACAAAAGTTTACAACACTCATGCCTAGTGTATGATCCTTTCCGGTGATAGAGAGTGTCATAAAAGATCCCAGCACAAAGTAAAGACTGTGATTCTCATAGGTGTACTCAGACAACAGAGAATTGTCACTCCCACACATGGACAGAGACCACTGGTGAGGTCCTGAGTATCACATATGGATGCCATCCCGCAGATGAAATTGTGACTGTCATATGTGGACCTGGCCACAGGTGAAATGGTGACTTCTTTCTGCACCCAACTCACAGGCACAATGAGAACTGTCATATCTGAACCTAGCCAATAAGAGATGTTAGCTCTCATTCCTGGCTTAGGACAATGAGTAAGATCATGAGTTCATACCAGCATGTAGATCTAAGTGTGGATTGTGACTTTCAGGCATACCATAGAAAGCACTTAGGTGGCACCAAGAGTGTGATAACAGGGCCCAGTGCATAGGGGAGATAGTGACCCTCATAGGCACACACAGTTTACAGTAAGAATTTTCACCCTCTTAGTCACAGCCCATTGTTGAGTTTCTGAATCTCACACTCAGAGGCAGCTAAAAGTTAGAATTGTGAGTCTCATACAGGGATCAGGTCCACAGATGAGATGATGACTCTTGGACTGAGATTTATTACACCTCTGAGGCTGTGACTCTACTACCAGGACACATTCTGAAGGTTGAATTGAGACTCTCGGGCACAAATCTAGTCAAATATTGAGATTCTGATTTGCATACAGGAGGTGTTGGCTGTCATCCCTAGAACTGGACATGTTTGGGATTGTTTATCTCATCCCTGGACTTTTCTTGACGTGTGATTGTGACGTATGCTTTTTCCCATATCCTGAGTGATTTTAGTTTTCTTCCTGGAGCCATTCCACAGATGAAACTGTGACATATGCAAAGGTCAAGCATCAAGCTAATATGACTCTCCTCATCTTCCTCAACCTGCTGTTAAGAAGTGATTGTTACATATTTCTGAATTTAACACCTGGGTGATGTGCCTCTTCTCTTATAACAAGGCTTTCAGCACAGAGAAGACTGTGACATATCACTGGGCCCAGCACCTAGGTGATGTGCTTGTTCTGCCTTAATTCTCCTCACATAAAACACTATGACTTATTTTGTGGTCAATCACCTAGGTGAAGTGACTCTTCTCACCTGCCTGGGTCCCAGCTTCAGAAGAACATGTGACATACTGCTGGATCCAGCACCTCGGTGATTTGAGTCTTCTCTGCTGCCTGATCTTTGCCAACAGTGGGGATTGTGAACTATTCCTTAATCCAGCACCTAAATTTTGTGACTCACTTCTTTTGCTCAGTCCTGCGAACGGTAGGAATTGCAACATATTGTGGGAACCAGCAACTAGGTGATGTGAATCTCCTCTCTTGCCTAGGCCCTGCCCACATTGGGCATTGTTACATATTGCTGGGCTCATCACTTAAGTAATGTAATTGTTTTCTGCTTGGATCTGTCCATGTAAAGATTGTGGTATTTCACTAGGTGCAGAATCCAGTTGCTATGACTCTTCTTCCTTGATCCCACTTATAGCGAGGATTGACATATTCCTGTCCTAGCATCCAGGTAAAGTGACTCTTCTGCCAGGTTCTAGTCTACAAGTGAGATTGTGACAGCCACCCGGGCTCAACTCACTGGTGCGATAATGACAATCATACCTGAACCCAGCAAAAAGGAGGGATATTGGTTCTCTTTGCAAGACTTAGGTCTGGGTGTTTCTTGTATGAAAGTCAGAGAAAATTACAATACTCATGCATATTGTATAATGCTTTCAGTTGGTACAGAGTGTCATAACAGTGCTCAGCACAGAGGTGAGACTGTGACTCTCATATGCACACCCAGCCAACAGTTAGGATTTTAACTTACACATATGTTAAGGTCCCAAATCCCACATATAAATGCAGTTTGCAGTTAGAATTGTGACTTGCATGTGGATCCAGCCACAGGTAAAATGGTGACTCACTTCTGAATGCAGCTGACAGACACAGTGATGACTCTCATTCTGAATGAGAGGTTGACGCTCACACCTGGGCTTAGGGCAGCAGTTAAAATCATGAGTTACGGCCAGGCGCGGTGGCTCACGCCTATAATCCCAGCACTTTGGGAGGCAGAGGCGGGTGGATCACGAGGTCAAGAGATCGAGACCATCCTGGTCAACATGGGGAAACCCCGTCTCTATTATCAGCTGGGCATGGTGGTGCGCGCCTGTAGTCCCAGCTACTCAGGAGGCTGAGGCAGGAGAATTGCTTGAACCCAGAAGGTGGAGATTGCAGTGAGCTGAGATCGTGCCATTGCACTCCAGTCTGGGTAACAAGAGCGAAACTCCTTCTCAAAAAAAAAAAAAAATCATGAGTTACACCAGCATTCTGAATCTGACACCCAGAGGCAGTTGAAAGTTAAAACTGTGACTCTCATACATGGATTCCATCCACAGGTTGGGTGGTGACTCTTGGACCAGAATTAAGCACTCCCATGAGTCTGTTACTTTCATACCAGGACACAGCCGCTAGGTGGGGCTGGAACTCTCATGCACAGATCCAATTTACTATTGAGATGATGAGTCCTGTACTTGCCCATAACTCACAGGAGGTGTTTACAGTCACTGGGCCCAACATCTAGGTGACATAACTCTCCTCTCATGTCTGGGCCTTGCCCATTTTAGGGACTGTGACATAGCACTGAGCCTAGCACTTTTCTGTGTGGGTTCTGCATACCGGGGGCATGGCAACGTAATGCAGTACCCAACATTATGATGACTCAGGTCACAGGAATGGTGGTAACTCTCATACCTGGATCCAGTCAGTAAGAGAGTTGTTTGATCCCAGACATAATTCTAGGGTAATAAGATTGTAAATCCATACATGCATGGAGGTCTCAGAGCAGATTGTGGCTCTCAGGTGTGTATTTTAAAGCCCTCGAATTGTACAGTGTGTCATAATAGGACCCAGAACACTGATGAGACTGTGACTCTTGTATGCACACCCAGCTGACAGTGAGAATTGTCACCCTCCCAGTTGAATATGGCACACTGTTGAAGTCCTAAATGTCATAGCTGGAGGCAGTCAAAATTTGGAATTGTGTCTCAGAAAAAAATCCAGTCCACAAGTGAGATAGTTGGATTTAGCACACCTGTGGTGACTTCTGTGAGTCCCTGCTGGGATACAGTCTGCTGGTGACATTGAGGTCTCATGCACACACTCAGTTCACTGTTGAGTCTGACTCATACTAGGACCCAACACACAGATGTTGAATATCATACCTAGACCTGGGACATATACAGGATTTTCAATCTCATCTCTGCACCTTCCCACAAATGTGATTATGACATATGCTTTGCCCAGCCCCTTAGTAATTTAACTCTCCTGCCTGGGCCCAGCCCAAAACTGGAATTGTGGCATATACCTGGGCCAGGCACCTAAATACTGTGACTTTCTTCTTTTGCCTGGGATCTGCAAACAGAAAAGAGTGTGACATATTGCTAAGCCCAGCATTTAGGTTATGTGATTCTTCCTCCAGTCCTTTCTACAAAGCCATTGTGACATATCTCTGGGAACATTAACTAGATTAAGGGACTCCCCTCTCATCCCTGGGTCATTCCCTCAGGGGGAATTATGACATATCACTGAACCCAGAACGTAGGTGATCGAATTCTCCTCTACTGCCCGGACCCCATCCACAATATGAATGGTAATATATTGTCGAGCCCAGCAACTAGATGAAGTCACTTTCATCTCCTGGAAACCTGCTCAGTGCGGGAGTTACATGTTGCCAGGCCCAGCACCTAGGTAATGTGGCTCTCCCCTCCTGTTTAGTCCCTCCCCACAGTGGGAAATATGACATGTGACTGGGCTCACCACCTAGGTGATGTAATGCTTCTATTTCTTGACCCACCCACAGTGGGTATTGTGACATATTACGGTGTTCAAGAGCTAAATAATGTGACCCTTTTTTCCTTATTGAGCCCTGCTCATAGGGGTTATTGTGACATGCAGCTTGGCCTTGAACCCAGATGATTTAACTCTCCTACCCAGGCTCTGCCGATGGAGAACAGTGTGACATGTCTCCGCATCCATGACCCAGGCGATGTGTTCTGGCTCACAGAAGAGAATGTAACATACCACTGGACCCAGCATCTAGGTGATGTATCTCTACTCTTTTTTCCTAGGCCTTGCTTTTAGGGTTGCTCAGCCCAGGACCCAGGTGATGTTACTCTCCTGCTTGGCCTTACCTGCCCACAAAAGGCATTGTGACATGTCTTTGTGCTCATTACCCAAGTAATGGTACTCTTTTTACTGCCAGAACGCTATTCTTGGGGAAAATCATGACATATCACTGTAGTGAGCATGTAGGTGAGGTGACTCTTCTGCCTCTGCCTTGCCCATAAAAAAAATTGTGACATATCACTGAACCCAGATCCTAAATGATATTACTGCACCTTACATACAAAAAATATATATATAAAATATTACTGGGCCTCAGACCTAGGTGATGAGACTCTCCTTTACTACCTGGGCCTTGTCCCAAGCGGGCATTGTGACATATCTCTTGCCCCATCACCTGGATGAAGTGGCTATTCTCTTCTGAATAGGTGCTGCCCACAGCTGTGATTGTTACAAAACCCTGGGCCCAGCACTCAAGTGTTTTGACTCTGCTGCATGGACCCTGCCCACAGAGGGCAGTGTGATACATGTATGGGCCCATCGACTAAAAATGTGACTTTCCATATTAGTCTGTTCTCATACTGCTAATAAAGTCATACTCAAGACTGGGTAATTTATAAAAGACATAGGTTTAGTGGACTCACAGTTCCACATGGATGAGGACGCCTCACAATCAGGGTAAAAGATGAAGGAAGAGGAAAAAGGCATCTTACATGGTGGCAGGCACAAAGGCCTGTGCAGGGAAACTTCCCTTTATAAAACCATTAGATCTCATGAGACTTACTCACTATCCCAAGAACAGTGTAGGGGAACTACCTCCATAATTCAATTATATTTACCTGGCCTTGCTCTTGACATGTGGGGATTATTAAAATTCAAGGTGATATTTGGGTGGCGACATAGACAAACCATATCACTTTTATCTCCTGCCAGGGGCCTGTACATAGGGGAGATTTTGACACATCACTAAACCCAGCACCTTAGTGATGTGACTCTCCTGGAACCTGCCCTCAAAGGGAATGGTGACATGGGTGATGTGACCCTCCTCTCCTGCCTGGATTCTGTCCTAAAAGAGAATGGTAAGATATCACTGAGACCAGCACTTAGGTAATGTGATTCTCAGCTTCTACCACGGCACTGTCTAGAAGGGGCAAGGTGACATTGTGTGGGGACAATCTCCTAGGTTATGTGACTCTTCTGCATTGGCCTGGCTTAAAGTGGGATTTGTGACATACCTCTGGGCCTACCACCTAGGTGATGTGACCTTCCTCACCTGCTTGTGCTCTGCCCACAGGAAGATTTCCATGTATCTCTGATCCCAGCACCTAGGTAATGGGACTCTTCTGCCTAAGCACTGCTTACACCAGCCATTGTGACATATTCCTAGGCCTAAGACATAATAATGTGACTTTTCACTTCTGCTTGGGCCCTACACAAAGTGGGCATTGTGATATATCATGGGGCTCATCACCTAGATGATGTAATTCTTTTGCTTGGGCCTTGCCCACAGAATAAATAGTGATATATTGCTAGGTGCAGTACCTAGATGATGTGGTATTTCTGCTTTGGCCTGTACCACAGAGGGCACTGTGACATACTGCTGAAGTTAGTACTCAGGAGACATGACCCTGGGCCAGAGCTGAGTCAACAGGTGGATTGTGACATATTCCTTGCCCGGCACCTAGGTGACATGATTCTTTCTTCCTGCAAGGGCCCTGATGTCAGTGAGGATTATGGCATATTGCTGGGCTCTACACCTGAATCATGTGACTCTGCTGCCTGAATTCTGCCAAAAAAGGCATTGTGACCTATTCAATAGGCTAGAACCTACATGATGTGACTTTCCTCTCCTTCCTGAGCCCCTGAGCCCTGTAAATATAGTTAATTGTGAAATACTGCTTTGAGCAGGACCCAGGTAATGTGGCCCTGCCCACAGAGGAATTGTGACATATTGCCGAGCTCAGCACTCAAGTAATGTGACTTTCTTGCCAGGACCCTGAATGCAGGGAGTTACTGAAATATTCCTAGACCAACATTCAAGCAATGTAACCCTCCTGTCTGGTCTCTTCCCACAGATGGGATTGTGACATACCTAGGCCTAGCTCACAGGCATGATTGAACCCAACTGATAGAAAAGATTTTTTACTCTCATGGCTAAAGTGAGGGGAATGAGTGAGGTCTTCTGTTTCCTACTTGTCGTAATGTCACAGAAGGTGATGATACTCATGCATATCCTATAACACTTTTGGGTGACACAGAGAGTGTCCTAACAGGACTCAGAACATGGGTGAGATTGTGCATCCCATAGGCACACCCAGCTAACAATTAGAACTGTCACTCTTACACAATGACATGGTCCACAGTTAAGAGTTGTGAATGTCACGTGTAATTCAGCAGTGTGATGATGACTCATTTCTGGACCAAGCTCACAGGTGCAATAATGACTCTCATACTTGAATTTAGCCAATAGAAGAGGTGTTGATTCTTGTAGCTGGGCTTATGGCATTGGGTAAGATCCTGAGTCTTCTGCTTGCAGAAAGTTCCGAGATTACCACCCTTATGCATATAATATAAAGCCCTTAGGTTTCACAGAATTTTATTACAGGACCCCATACGAAATTGACATTGTGACTCTTCTATGCACACTCATCTGACAGGATTATCACCCTCACACATGGACAGAGCCCACTGCTGAGGATATGGGTCTCACTTGTGGATATAGCTCACAGTTTGTAATGTGACTGTAATATGTGTCTCTTACCACAGGTGGGATGTCTTATTTCTGGACCCAGCTCATAGGCACAGTGATGACTCTTATACCTGAACCCAGCAAAGAATAAATACTGAATCTTGTAATAGGATGTTGTGAATATGTGTGTGTGTTTCTTAAGCTTTGAGAAATTGACTGTAAATATTACAGCTTAATAAATATTATATACATAAATGGCATATAAATTAAAATACAAATTATACATATTTAGAACGTAGTTACTTACAATTGCTTAAAGCTCACCTGATCAGCCAAGGCCTATCTTCTTCAAGATCACGCTGAAATTGCACCTGCTTGGTTACAGTATCTCCTAGGGTGAAATGACCCTTACTGAGAATGGTCAAAATAAGAAAGAAAAATTATGGTACACAAATCTTATGTGTAAAGACAGAGCTGTAGAAAAAAAAAATGCTCAGAGAAGGATAAATATATCAATTTTACCAAAGTTATTTTTAAGAAAATAAATGCTTCAAAGTCAAATAAAATTTATTCATTTAATTAAAAATTGCAAATGCTATGGTGAATGAAATTAAAGGCCTCTGACTTTACAAAGTTTACATTGTAGAGTTTGGAAAATAAAGCCAATTAGGTAATAAATAATAGGCACGTGTCACCACACCTGGCTAATTTTAGTATTTTTAGTAGAGGTGGGGTTTCACTATGTTGACCAGACTGGTCTCGAATTCCTGAACTCATGATCCACCCACCTCAGCCTCCCAAAGTGCTGGGATTACAGGTGTGAGCCACTGCACCAGGCCAATACTCTCTTTTCTTAAAGAAAATGTGGGTAGATCACAAGGTCAGGAGATCAAGCCCATCCTGACTAAAAAGGTGAAACCCCGTCTCTGCTAAAAAGAACAAAACATGATCCGGATATGGTGGTGCACGCCTGTACTCTCGCCGAGGCAGGAAAATCACCGGAACCCTGGAGGGGGAGGTTGCAGCATGCCGAGATCTCACCACTCCACTCCAGCCTGGCAGAAGACGGAGACTCCATCGAAAAAAAGAAAAATAAATCCACTCAAAGTAAATTAGACACTTGAATGTAAGGCTTGAAACTCTGAAACGATTACTACAAAAAAAAAAAAGTCCCATAACATTGGTTGGGCAGTGACTTTTTGTATTTAAACTCGAAATCCCAGGGAACAAAAGGAAAAATAAGAGTTAGAATACTACAAATTAAAATGCTGCTGCACAGAATATGATACAATCAACAGGATATCTAAAAAGTGAGACAAGAGGTTAATATAAAAAATATATAAGAAACTTAAATGACTATACAACAAAAAAGAAGACACTATTAAAAATGAGCTAAAAGCATACATATTTCTTCTTTTCTTTTTCTTTTTTTTGAGACGGAGTTTCGCTCTTGTTACCCAGGCTGGAGTGCAATGGCGCGATCTCGGCTCACTGTAACCTCCGCCTCCTGGGTTCAGGCAATTCTCCTGCCTCAGCCTCCTGAGTAGCTGGGATTACAGGCACGCACCACCATGCCCAGCTAATTTTTTCTATTTTTAGTTTTCTATTTAGAGACGGGGTTTCACCATGTTGAGCAGGATGGTCTTGATCTGTTGACCTCGTGATCCACCCGCCTCGGCCTCCCAAAGTGCTGGGATTACAGGCGTGAGCCACCATGCCCGGCCAAGCTATATACATATTTTTTCAAGAAAATACATATATATGACAAACAGATATATTTTAAAATGCTGAATGTCAATTCTTATTAGAGAAAGCAAGCCCACCCCCCACAAATAATATCTATGATATCAACACACTTATTAGAATGACTTTTAACAACAATAACAAAAAAGGCCAGGTTCAGTGGCTCTTGCCTGTAATCCCAGCACTTTGGGAAGCCAAGGCCAGAGGATCACCTGAGGTCAGGAGTTCAAGACCAGCCTGGCCTACATGGCCAAAACCCATCTCTACTAAAAATACAAAACATTAGCTGGGCATGGTGGCAGAGACCTGTGATCCCAACTACTCAGGAGGCTGAGGCAGGAGAACTGCTTGAACCCAGAAGGTGGAGGTTGCAGTGAGCTGAGATTGCACCATTGCACTCCAGCCTGGATGACAGAGCAAGACTCTGTCTCATAAATAAATAAATAAATGAAAAAAGCCTTAGCTGGTAAAGATGTGAATAAAAAAATGCTTGCACACTGATTTGAATGTAAATGAGGACATTTACATTATGAATAACAAAATATAGATTACTCAAAAAAACTTAAAATCGGCCAGGCGCGGTGGCTCATGCATGTAATCCCAGCACTTTGGGAGGCCGAGGCGGGCGGATCACCTGAGGTCGGGAGTTGGAGATCAGCCTGATGAACATGAAGAAATCCCACCTCTACTAAAAATACAAAATTAGCTGGCGTGGTGGCACATTCCTGTAATCCCAGCTACTCTGCAGGCTGAGGCAGGAGAATCGCTTGAACTTGAAAGTTGGAGATCACGCCATTGCACTCCAGCCTGGAAAACAAGAAGGAGACTCCATCTCAAACAACAACAACAACGACAACAACAACTTATAATTAAACTACTATGTAATCTAGCAATTGCACTATTGGATATATATCCAAAACAAAATCAGAACGACGAAATATTTACACTTTTATGTTGTTCGCAGCACTCTTCAGAACAGCCAAATTACACAATCAACAGTACAACATCTACTGAGCAAATAAAGACAATATGATACATATGCACAATGGAATACTATTTACATTTAAAAGAAAATTCTGATTTTCAATCACATGGATTAACCTGAAGGGCATTAGTTATAACAAGCCAGTCACAGAAAGATTAGTATCTCATGATTTTGCTTACACATGGATTCTAAAAAACTTAAATCTCATTGATGTAGAGATCAAAATGGTGACCACCAGATGCCAAGGTATTTAGAAAAAAAATGGGGAATTGGAAAGATGTCTGTCAAAGAATACATAATCATAGTTGGATAGGAGGAGGAAGTTCAAGATTGTACAGCACTGTGACTACAGTTTATAATATTGCATGTTATGTTTGAAAAATGCTAAGACAATTTTATGTGATCTCACCACAAAAGTGTTAACTATGCTTTTTATGCCCTGAGCCCTGGAGTAGGCGTTTCTGGCCATTCATACAGCAGTCAGTCAGTATTCGGTTGTTGGATTCTGTGCACTATGGGAACCAAAGGGTGACAGTGCTGCTAGTATGAAGCTTGCGAGATTTTTGACAAAAGTGAGTCATGAAACCGTAACCACTGAATTGAAAAACGAACACAGGTCCATGAAACAATCACAGGTGTGGATGTCAGCGTGAATATACATCATCTTAAAGCTATGAAAATGACCCTGAAGAACAGAGAACCTGTACAGCTGAAAACGTTGAGCATTTGAGGAAATAACATTCGCTATTTTATTCTACCAGACAGTTTACCTCTGGACACATTACTTGTGGATTTGAACTTAAGGGTGAAACCTAACAAAAGGGAAGCTGTTGCAGGAAGAGGCTGAGGCTCTTCACTAAAAAAATAAAAAATAAGAATGAGAAATTCCTGAAAGTTGCAATATCGATATGGAAAATAAATACTATTCCAAATCTACAGAGGTCATTTTGTTTTGCACCCTTTAACATACACATGTAAAAACAGAAGATTCTGCCTACAAATGTGAGTTGTGCTGTATCATAAAAAATTAAATTTATGCCAGGTGCAGTGGCTCACACCCATAATTCCAGCATATTGGAAGGCTGAGGCAGGCAGATCACCTTAGGTCAGGAGTTTGAGACCAGCCTGGCCAACATGGTGAAACCCTGTCTCTACAAAATACAAAAATTAGCCAGGCATGATAGCAGGTGCCTGTATTCCCAGCTACTCAGGAGATTGAGGAAAAATCGCTTGGACCTGGGAGACATAGGGTGCAGTAAGCCCAGATTGTTCCACTGCACTGCATCCTGGGTGATGAAGTGAGACTCCGTCATTTAAAAAAAAAAAAAATTAATATGGTTCACTTACCATAACTCTTTAAATTTGAATTTCTGTGATATATTTTCTAGCAGATTTTATATTTGTCACACACACTTTGGATAAGAAGCTAGTAAGACTTTCCTTTTACAAACAATATTTTCTTTTTGCAAACAAAGCAGCACCATGCTAACTGATTCAATCCTTTTGCCTGTGGACAGTGAATGCCTTTTATCTTAACTGATCTGAAAGTTGTATTGATAAGCAAACTCTCCAGTTAAAACCAGTTTTTCAGTGCACTAAAAAATACCAAAGTTCTCATCAAAACCCACAAAATACCACATAAAATGACATGGCATGAAGAAAACAGTGTGAAAACTGTAGCCATAACACAAAAAAAGAAGGGCTATGATGTATACATGGCTGGAATATACATTAAAAAAAACTTAATAATTAGGAAATAAATGAAACGGAATTTCCTTTTAAATTCAGCAAAATTCAAAATTCAGCTTTGCAGCCTCGAAAAAAGTCCTCTGAACATGAAAAAAATCAATGTTATTTGTTCACCTTTGGTATTTTCTTCTTCTGACTTGAAGTTACAAAGTAATTTTAGCAGGAATATTTATGTCTTATTATGGAGATCTGTTCTACAGCAGACACTGTCATGTCTGTTTGCTACTCTTATGTATAAAACTTTCTCATGACTTACATAGCTTCCCTAGTACTTTAGATCTAAACAAATTGGCACAATCAATCATTAAACGTTTTTACAGAATAAATCCAGTTTATCTTTCAAGATAGTATATTTTTAAAATCTTTTAAAAAGATAATATTTCAAATATCTCTTTTCCATAAACTTGACTGAATAGTATTAAAAAATAAGTTTCTTTTAGCCAGTCAAGGTGGCAGGCACCTGTAATCCCAGCTACTTGGGAGGCCGAGGTAGGAGAATCACTTGAACCTGGGCAGCAGAGGTTGCAGTGAGCCAAGATCATGCCATTCTAGCCTGGGCAACAGAGTGAGACTCCTCTTAAAAAAAAAAAAAGTTTTTGTGCTGTTTTTCTCATGTGTCAGTCATAACCATAGGCACTTTGATACTTTACAGCATGTTTTAAACCCAGCACAGTGCATGAAGGGAGCCCTTGGCCTCCCAGTGCTGGGATTACAGGTGTGAGCCCCCTCACCCGGACCATGACTAAATTCAATGAAACTCATTATTATAATCCCAGAGCAGCTCACATAATTAATGTTTCATAAACTATAAAACAAAATATATATATGAGAAAGTTATGGCCCTAGCATTAGTGCAAAACAAGTAAAAACAGAATTTGTATGGGGAGATTCTGAGACATAAGCCATAAGATATTACAGTAATAAATTCAATAAAAAGCAGAGAGTATAGATTTGCATCCAGCATTTTTGAGGATTTTTTTTAAAGGTAATCAAATGTCAACTTTACTGTTTCTATGTAAACACATTTTTGTACTGAAAACTGTAAAAATAGCATAAACTTTATTCTTAGTGCAACCCAAATTTTTGAAAGCCAGAAAATCTAACTATTATGCTCTAACCAAACTAGCTAATGTTTTCTTTATTCACAAGTAACTTTGCTTCAATTTCTTGATGCTGGGTTTCACCTCACTGACTTTGGGCTTCTAAAACACATGGGAATACTTATATCCTCTCGGCTTCTTTGGGTCAAATCAAACAGTAGAGCTAAAGTTATCCAAATACATTCAAACTACACAGATCCCTTATAAATTACTACCATCATAGTACGGAAAAAGATACAAGAAAAATACAACCTAGAACTCATTATCAAAATTATTGGTGTGTAATCCATACGAGCAGACAGTAGCTTTCTCGGTCTGCTATATAAAATTACCAGCAAGAAAAAAAAAGGGCAAGAATAAGGTTTATGGCTGAAGTGGCTTGGTGTCGTAATTCCCTATTCTAGCATTCTCAGAAGGATCCCATCCGCTAGACTCGCAGAAACTGCAGGGACATCTGAACATTCCTCTTCTTGATGCATTCTTAACTCCCTTAAGCCCGGTGTTCGTTAGTGTTCTTTCAAACTGCTAAGGACCTCTGCTAAGTAACATGTATCTGAATCTTGCCAGCCTTTCTCTTCACAGACAGCAATGCTCTTTTTTTTTTTTTGAGATGGAGTTTCGCTCTTGTTACCCAGGCTGGAGTGCAACGGCGCGATCTCGGCTCACCGCAACCTCCGCCTCCTGGGTTCAGGCAATTCTCCTCCCTCAGCCTCCCGAGTAGCTGGGACTACAGGCACGCACCACCATGCCCAGCTAATTTTTGTATTTTTAGTAGAGACGGGGTTTCACCATGTCGACCAGGATGGTCTCAATCTCTTGACCTCATGATCCACCCACCTCGGCCTCCCAAAGT